GCGAAGGAGCTAACTTTTAGTTATCCACAAAAGTAAATACAGTAAACAAATACAGTAATACGTAAATACAATAATAGTTTTTCGGATACGTTAGTCTAAGTACGTTCACTAGATTGTTTTTAAGTACGAACAGGTAAAAGATAAAAACTGTTAAATAAGAAATTAATATTTTAATATTCCAAGTTCGATGATGTATTGACAATAAATTGGGTTGATTATATGTTGATGTACATTTCTTCAAAAATATTTTAGCTTGTTTTTTCATATAATAAGAGTACACAAAATGTTAGCTCCATGAACATGACACTGTCGAGCAACAGAAAGGAATGTTGCTGTTTGAATAAAACACAATTATTCCATTTTTCTATCCTAAAATGAGACCACAGAAGAAGATCCATTAAATGCTAAAACAGGATATTGGTTTTGTGAGTATCTTTGATATCTTACAATGATTAGCGAAAGATTCCTCTATCTGACACTTTTTAAGCTCAAGATAGCAATATATCATTTTGGAGTTTTCTTTCAACAAATGCCTATTAGCAAAAAACTTTCAGGAGTACGAAATGTAGAGAGGAGTAGTTTATCTTGAGTCTTGAGGAGGAATGAAAGCCCCTGATGTAAGACGTCTCATTTTATACATTTTTGACTCTCTTCGTGTTACGGGTCTATGACCTTTGATATTTCGGACGCGGTACCATCATTTACATTCATTCATTTTCTTTCTTGTCAGTTTTTATCTCTCGGACGTCGTGTATTTTCTTTTTGTACACACGCACCGATGTATTTTCTTCATTACACTCTAAAATAAATGCGACTTAGGATCAAGTGAAGATACATTAATGCGGCTTAACGAGGAATATATTTTGTGAGTTGCGATGAGAAATCGTGGTAAGGGACGCATAAAAGAAAAATTTGTGTACATAAACAGCCTATTTTCCATCTCGTTAATGTTATTCCCTGCCAATAGAGATTCTACATAGTTATCGGCTTTAGTATTTAGTATAGTCGGTTTCCTTTTAATCATTTACTTTAGATTAATAATGGATAATCAACAGTTAGTTACGTCTCCCAAAATATACAATAAAAATCTCAGCGAATATCAGAAATGTGTTATGGTGCTCTCAGATAAGATGACAGTCGGACAAATGTCTGTAGTATCAAAATTAGATAATATCCTACCAGATCAATTGAAAAATAAATACGATCATATCACGAATATATAGAACATACACTATAAGGCGTTGTTTATTCCATCAAAAGTCAAGTCAGTTCTAAGTGCCTTAAAGCAGCATTCGAAGGTAAAAAATATTGTTATTTTTCTATGTTTTATGTGGGTTTGATTGAATTATGAATACTGAGCCTGTGTTTGCTGTTCATTTCAAAGTTGATTACACGAGATATTTTTGAAATAATGCTCGACAAGAAAGTGACAGAAAACTGCCCAAAGCCCAAACTCTAACATTATTTTTAAAGCAGGCTTTTCAGAGCATTTTTGTAAAATCGACTCAAATTCGAAAATTTGAAGAGATGAAATATTTGGTTTTTTTACGTGGACAGGTACATCCAAGTGTGCTGTTCTAAAATGGACGATATGTTTAGTTTTACATGCTAAAGATGAATACAATTCAATAAATGCAAAAATTCGTCTTCAACTCGCGAAAATAGCCGAAAATCTGTGCTTTTCGTATAACTCATTTTTACCAAAAATTCTCTGAAACTTTTTTCAGAAATAAAGACTGCTGCGATACCCAATAAAATCAACAATCTTGTTCCAAGTGCTTTTGTTCCAAGTCTAAAGATACTAGTTCTGGGCTTACAGAAAAATCGGTGCTACGTGTATACCATCAAGAGTGTAGATTTTACTTGATTCTAGTTCTGAAGAGTACACTTGGTCGCACTTGTCAATGTAAAAAAAACAAATATTTCATCTCTTCAAATTTTTGAATTGGAGTCGATTTTACAAAAATGCTCTGAAAAGCCTGCTTTAAAAAAAATGTTAAGCTTATTTCTGTTATGAAAAAGTATGGCAGAGTTTGGGCTTTTAATGTTGAAGACTGCAGTTTTCTGTCACTTTCTTGTCGAGCATTATTTCAAAAAAATTCTGTCGTAATCAACTTTCAAATAAATATTAGATTGACTCTTCCGATTTGTTATCTGAGAGAAGTTTTGTTCAACATATACATTCCACTCTGTCGTATTTACAATAACACATTTGCGACCTTTTTCTAATTCTTCTCTTTTACGTTATAGCTGAAACAACAGTTAGTCTGTGATATTGATATCAACCCTATTATTAGTGAATATAGACGATGTACAAATATCGATGATAATGTAAGCTACATTTGCGCCAATAGTGTCTCGATCATTTACGTAGTGTTTATTTGCTTCCTTTATCTCAGATAAACGTTGATAGTATCAACTTGCTACCATTTACTTCAACATGTTTAATATGTAATTCACAGTTGACTGATTATAAATGTAAAAACATACCATTATACGATATTACATCTGTGAGAACATGTACAAGTTTTAAGGCTTCATGTGAACAATGTAAATATGAATATTATTCTTGTTATTATAAAAATAAATTGACTAGATGCAAATATGTACAATCTTAATCAATCAAAAATGTTAAATACGTTTATCTTTGCTATGAGTCGGCCTATAACACATTTGTTGATTTCGTTCTCCGGACATTAATTCATTCACATTCAACATTTAATGGTTTCTGCAATGTATACGATTATACGACTCAACAACTAATTGACCTGTAAGCACCCTAACAGGCCACAAAATTTAAACCCAAAGATGCTACAATACTATTGGTTAATATTTGAAACATGTCAATTTTATTTTATGACAACTGATAAAGATTGTCTCGAAATAACTGGAGTTTATCGTGGTAAGAAGAATTAGTAGAGTAGAGAAGAATCTGTTGAAATTTTTAAATAATTTTTAAACAGATAACAACGCAGAGTATGTTTCATGCTTTTAAGTAAAAACAAATAATTACTGATTAATTTAGACTAACTTCTTATTAAAAAGAAGCTGAAAAGTTAATTCACATCAATGTAAGAGTTGCAGGTTCATTTAAATTCATTTGAAATGAATTAATTTATACAATTTCGATAAGTTTAGTTTGAATTAGGTTCTACACTGTAAAGTCGGGAATTATTTATAGAAAATGCTCGGCGATTTTCCAAAAGTTCATATATGAAATCCTCATGGATTTTCTAGATTATAGAAAATCGAATTTCTAATAATGTAGAAAATCGAAAAATAATATAGAATTCTTGGGAATTACTTATAGAAAATCCTCAGGGATTTTATATATGACTTTTCGAAAACCAAAAAGTCGGATTATTTTCTACTTTCTAGAAAATCTCTGAGGATTTCTAGATGATGAGGAAGAACATTTTGGGTGAAAATGCTGATAATCAGAGACTTGCAAAGTGAAAATGGCTGAAGATAACCTTTTCACCGTTATTAAAAGCTACTGAACTTCGAACGTCAGTGGAGTGCATTGTTTCAGCTTATTGGATGACAATATACTTCTTTTAACAATGAAAAACAAATTCGACATAGATCACGCGTTGAACAACTGTTATTTTATCTAAAAACTAAAGAAAATAAATGTGAATTGATAGGCTCATGTCTTTGAGTTAATAGAATCAACTATAGTTTTTGGAATATGCTAAATTCAGAAATAAAAATGAGGAATATTAGCAAGCGCGAATCGCTTTGCAATCTTCAGAAAGTAGCCGTGGAACTCGACTTTGTCGTAACCAGGCCTAAGCCAAGAACCTTTTCTGTACCTCTTTGTGGTCTCTAAGTGTCGTACAACAACAATACTTCTCGAAGAATATGCTGATTTGCAAAAACTGAGAGAACTTTCTGAATCTATTAACATTTTCGATGATAAATACTAAAAGAAGCAGAGATCTGTTACAGGATAACTTGTTGCAATGAAGGCTTTGATAGATGTGAAAGAAGTAAGAAAAAAAATGACCGATTAAACTTCTTAGAAAGTCGAATTCGATTTTCCAACTATTTAGAAAATCGCTGTCAAATTTCAAGAATCTTGGAAATTATTTATAGAAAATCGCTGCCGATTTTCCAACTTTTTAGAAATTCCTTATCGATTTTCTGGCAAATGAGAAAAATCAATTCATGGAAAATCGAGTCGATTTTCTATAAAGTAGAAAATCAACACTTTCTACACAGTCAGAAAATCGCTGAGGACTTTATAAAAGTTGGAAAATCCTTGGCGATTTTCCAGATCGATTTTCTATAAAGTAGAAAATAATTCCAAATTACAGTGTACTCTGAAATTATTGCAGATTCATTTCGATACGTTTTTTCTTAATCAATTTCGATAGTAAAAATCAGTTTGAATCTATTTTTAGAACCAAAATTCATTTAAATTAACATTAATTCCTGAAATTAATATAAATATGTTTAAGATAAAGTATTAACATCATTTTTGAAGCTTAAAAGTAGTTCAATTAATGTAAAGAACGAATTTGATTAATTTGTCCAAACTAATGTATTCGTTTATTTTACATAAAAGCTTTGTAGTGCGAAATCGAATAGAACGTAATTTATCACTTACAAGCCGATTAAAACTCTTTAAAACGGTATACTTCAAAATCATATAACACTTTTTTGCGTTTTTTAATGAGAGAAATTGGTTTTCCCAGAAAAAATTAATCAAATTAATTTGAGGTTTTTCAGTTCGGTTTGAATTAATTGTGCCTTAGTTTCGTGTTTTAATAGGTGATGTTCATGACGATTGGTTTCGACGTTGGAATGAAAAATTATATACAATTTTCGTTTCCTTTTGGACCCATCATTATTTGATTCCAGGAAAAAAATGTGCTGAATACTGTTCACGTGTTTTCTTATGTGATGGTCACCAGAAGCCAAATAAGCTCGTTTGTTCTTTCAATAATATTTGTGACACAAGTATACCGGAATTAGGACCAGTTCTTATTGATTGTATGGAAACCCCTTGTCGATCGAATGGTAATGAACTTATTTATTTGTATAATTATTCAGGCGTAACTAAATTAGTTCTTTTTTTAGATTTAGAACATAATAATAGATATTTTTGTAAAGATCATCAACCACAGTCAGATATTCAGGAAACCCAACAGCATCAACAACATTCAGTACACAAAGAACATGAAACATCGTCAACACAATCAATGTTATCATCATTATTATTGAACAAAACGTCACAGAAGCAATGTCAACAGCGACGCCAATCGACCTCGATTGAAGATCCATGTCTCAATAACAATGAGCTGCAAGACAACTACCACGAATCATTGATATTGGATGAGGCTGACAATCAATTAAGTATACAAACATACGAAAAGTGCAATGTATACCGTGATGAGTTTGAAGAAACCAAACAAACTAGTTATACTTTTTTGGCTACGTTTTTAAACTGCAGCGTCATTGTTGGTTTTGATGAACAACCGCGAAGTGAGGGTATGCGCAGAGTAATTCGACATATAATACGAATACGCAATAATGGAGACTGCCTCCTGCTATGATGTATGACTGTGCCTGATGAGTAATGTCGAACTATGGCTATCTTCTTCTTATAATGTCATAATCTATTATTCTAGCACGATGAAACTATTTGTTAACAACTGGTATGGGACAAGGTACCTAAAAACATCAGATAATTCAACGTTTTTGAAAAACATGTCATTAGCTATCGATCGTTTTCATTTGCCGGGCCATACAAGAGAAATGTGTAAAAATGAGATGAATCCCAATAATAAAAAATATCATGGTGATACGTTTGAAGGTATGCATGGCTTTAAGGGTACTTTCATCCCGTCTTTTTTGAAAAAAACTTAGCATCTTGAGCTGAACATAGTCTAATGTAGAGAAAAGCTTGAGCTATATAATGAGACTACTCCCCACTCTCCATGACCTTCCTTGAAAAAATTATGAAGTTTTTAATTTTTTCCTAAAAAACCTAGAAAATCTCAACTTTTTAGTTTTATAAATATTTCTCTCCTTTTCTATATATTTAAAAATTTTTCTTATACATAGTCTGATAGAAGAAATTGTGCTCTTCAAAATGAGACATCTTCCAGAATTTTCTGATGAGTTCAACTATTTCACCATTTATCTTATTATTGATGATGATAATGGCATTGTTGACGACCGAAAAATAACTTTTAAAGTAAGAAAAAGTAAACTGCATTTTTTTATTGCAAATAGACAAAAAAAAGATGTAGCAAAAACTCCTGAAATTAGATCATCTTTGGGAGCAGCGGGACTTGAGTTTGAGAGTATGACGATGAGTGTTAGTGAGTAGACATTTTTGTTAATCTATGATTGGTCGTCTTTTCTTTTTCTTTTATTTACTGACCAATATTTTTTTAGCTTTTTATTCCATTATTATTTAATATTTTTCTCTCAAGAATCATTCCACGACACATTTCGGTCTTGCGTAAGGGCCTCATCAGATGGTTTCCTGGGATATTTGTTCAACACATATCGGCTCGATCCGCTCTACAAAGTTATTAAAAAAACGGGATGGTTACCTTCTCCCCTTAAGAAAGGTTACACACATATCAACTGATGGTTCAATAGATCGAAATTTATTGCTGAGTCTATTCAAAAATTTAAATAACTTACAATTATTATCAACTAGATATGAAGATCTTTCTTGTGTAACTGATGGTTTTATTCATAGTGACAATAGCTTATTATTATTATCAAAACTTAAGATCAAACCTTCTAGACAAGAATTAAAATGAAATCAAAGTAACAATATTTTCTCAATTAAAACACTTTCAATGTACGGTCGAAAGTGAAAATGAAATTTTTTATTTATTTTAAATAATTTTGAGAATTGTTATCAACAAATATTTATTATGAACAGTTGATAAATATTAATCAAAATGGAATTGATTTATGGTTAGTACACAATAAAATAGAAAGAAATCTTTCATTTGAAATTACAGATTTACAAATCCGTAGGTTGTTACTCTGTTTGAATATTTGGTTCAATCGACAATAATATTGTTGTTTCAAAACTTATCATCATATTTTGTTTCATTCAACAGAACACCTTTTCCGTCTCTCTCTGCTGATGTGTCATATTTTTATTCCATTCTGTCCTTTTGTTATCACATAATTCTATTGTTCGTTCATTGTGCGTATCGTATGATCTTTATTTTTTTCCTTTCGTTCTTTGTGTGCATATATATATATATATATAGTGATGCGTAGTCGATATTTAGTTAGTTTTGTCACATGGTGTCTTTTCACATTCTTTTGTAAAAAAATAGATACACCGTAAACGTATAGAGGCCTTTTGCTCACTACTCATGAACCTGCAGTTCTCGAGCATTGGTTAGCCCGCTAACAAATCTCTGTATTAGTATGTACCTGTTTCACTAAGAGAGAAAAGCGTTTTTAGACCCTCTAATAATAATAATAATAATAATAATTGTCCTTTTTCTTCATCGGATTGAAGTTAGGGACGAGAGAGTTAAACGCCATTCGATCTTATTTTTTGATTTCCTTTCCCACTGTCCAACTGGTATAGGGGGTTGAGTGAGACCACA